ACGCTTAACCATCTGAGCCACCCAGGCACCCTACTTTCTACATTTAAATAGTGCTGCTTTACAATCTACAAACTTTTATGCCCAATAGCTCAGGGTTTTTTCCCCCCCCTTTATTAAATACTTTGGGTAGACAAGGCAGTTACTTTGCCTATCATGAAGATTAAGAAGCTGAGCCTCGGCGAAGCGTCTTACCTGAGGTCAAAGACAAGACAATCTATTTCTGGGCAAGTGGGATGCCAACAGTTTACACTTGGAGAGCTTTTCCCAGGACACTATAGCTACTTGTTGATGTCTCAACTTCTTTCACCTGAGGGAAATAGAAAGCCTTTGGTCAGGGCCATGTCCACATCTTCTTGAGTTGGTGTCATAACTGTGCCTTTTAGAGAGCCACCTTGATGCCAACATTTAACATCTGTTCAGTGAGACCCACAGGACTTAATCTGCCCTCCCCTCCGACATTTGTCACCCCCTTCACATAGTTCTTGGTTTGGCCATTTTCCAACTGCGTCAGTACAACTCTATTTCCAGTATCTGCGTGACTGTTTATTGTTGATTTGCACGCTTAAGATGGGAAGAAAGTGATTATTTTAACTAGAGAAAGGGTGGGTAAGAGGGTCGTTTTCGTACGAATAGGGACTTAGCAAGAGAAAGGCTGTATGAGGCTGACACCTACTGCACAAAGAAAGATACCGCACAGGAACATGCTACTTGTATATATTGAACAAAAACAGTCATGCTCCCATATATATTTCCTTTTTGAAACAACAGCTAAGAAGTATCTGTTAATGCAGAGGAATAGAGCACAAAAGCTCATTTACTCCATTCTTTTTTTTTTTTTTCCTTTGGGACCCAATAGACACTTTATTCTTGTTCTTTCTAACAGAGCTGTGAAGTCTGAGATCACAAAGAGAGGACCCAAATCTCTTCCTGGAAGAAACTCACAGTCCATGCCATGCTCCCATTCTGTTCTTCTACTTGCACCTACATGCCCAGAGTCAGAGGAAACCCTGGTTTTAATTAAAGCCAGCTTTCTTCCTAAAGTCACAGTGACCACTGCCTATGGTCAAACAGTCAAACAGTGGTTTCCTGAGCTAATGGTTCTGGGACCCTTTATTTCATTCAAAATGGAAAGCAGATGAAAATTAGTGAGCAAGGAGGAAAGAAATAAAAAAGAAAAAGCCAGAACAGGTCAGAAAGGAAAGAAGATGAAATGAGGAGATGTAGTTAAATAATAAGCCCTTTTTAGTGTATGCTCTGTTTGCATTCTGGACATATTCATAAGTTCAAAGGAAGTTGTATCTTCTAGGGTTTATGCAGTCCTGAGAATTTGGATGGAGCAGATCCTGTTTTGTTATGATGGTCAATTAATTCATGCTCTTCTGGAGATAATGATGAATCCTTGCCCTGACACTAGAGACAAAAATTCCAGCAGATTACTCTTCTGTCTGCTGCACTTGGCTGGATTCCAGGGAGCTAGGCCAGCGCTAGTGGGAAAGAAATAAAGGTGCATTTCCTGAGGTAGCTGCGTGTCCTTAATTCCTTTGCTGGGCCAAATCTGTCTCAGGACCTTGATATTCTTTCTAAACATTTAGGTGACTCAAATTCTGAG